TGAAGACGGAGGCCGCAAGGGCAGCGAGGATATAGAACACACAGTGGCACCATATTGGTTGGCTGGTTCGTTGGTTGGCCAATTTTGTGGCCTGCACGCTTCGATGCGTCACGCCAAAGCGATGTGGCCACCGATTGGTTTCTTGGGTTTCTTTTTTTTTTTCGTCCGAGCCATCGTGGACAGGCTGGTTTGATCCCTCGTCTGACTCGTCGGTGTTGCTTCTGAAGAAAAGAATCGGCTAAGCTCCGGAAACGTATCGTGGATATCCCTACGATGAGAATTCCGAGTTTTCCGTCGGTGAAGAACTCGCGCCAGAGAACGACGAAGGAGGGGGTAGCGATCGAGGAGTTTCCCCGAGAGATCGAGTTCCTCCTTGCACGAGATGTGCGGCTGAAAACTGTCACAAAAGATTTCACTCGATGCGAACAATCGATGTTCAACTCGTGCCGCTCCGAACACCGAGCATTCAGCTTGGCGTTGCCTCTGAAGAGGAGTCTCAATACTCCTTGTGCCCCGCGGCTTTGGGGCTGCTCCGTCGCTCAGCGAAAAGAGAGCGCCGCTGCTGATGCTAATAAAAGCGCAATAAAGCACCGACGCTATCTTTCCCAGAGGACAACACATCATGTTATCCTTTATCTTACCTGTTCTCGGCCGCTTCGTTGCTTATCGCAGGCGTCTCGGCTCCTCCAGCCACGACTAGGCGACCGACCGGCCGCGAAACGAGGTATAAAGACTCGAGTCCAAGCGGCAGGCGCGACTCTTGTTGTTCGTATACATTGTTTGCTGGTTCAGACCCCGTAGTAAACGGGTCCCGTAAACCAGAGCTCGTACACAGAAACAGGTGTACCGCAAGCGGCGGGATCACTCTCGGCTACGCAACTCGCAGTGGTTTGTGAGCTCTGCTCGCTTTCCGAGGTCCGGGCTTCCTCCGAATCGTTCCGGGGAAGGTCTCGCCTTGGCCGTGACTTTTTTTTGTTGAATGTCCCGCTGTCGCCGGCGCGGTTACGGTCCCTCTCTACTTGGCAGCTATTTTGTAAACAGTATGTCCCACGTTCGACGAGAGGGCGTAGCTGGGAGACGAAGGAGGGAGTTGTCCTCGTCGACGTCTCTGCGCACCGTGGAACATAAATCACGAAGTCGATGGACGTCGACGGGGGAACACCGGGAATATGGGAGGCAGATGATGATACAGCGCGCGGCGACGGGGGTCGTCGTAGATCGGCGGCGGCGGCAGCAGCATCAACAACAACATTTGCAGCGAAAAACAAACCCGTCTCGACGAGCGCACGAAAAACGTAAGAGCACTCAGCGAAACGAACACGAAAATCCTGGTGTGACTCTTTTTCTGTTTTGAGGGGTTCGACATCGGCTGACAGCCGGGAAATCGCAGAGCACCATAAGAAATGAATGAGCATAATTCCACAGCTACAATTTCGGCGCGCGATCGAGTGCAACTGGTTGAGGATCCAATGGAGGGATCGGCACTCGAGGAGGGATGGGTGCGACGAGGATCATCATTATATCTAAGCCCCGCGAAGGAAAGTAACTCGTTTCGAGAGGAAGATGAAGAAATGGGATCACTCGAGCCAGTCGAGAAAGAATTGAAATTTCGGGCTGCCATTCGATTTTTCTTCGAATCAACTGCTTCTTGCCTCCGGACTCGAGTCATACTGGATTCACCAGGAACGTTTTTTTGTGCGAATGCTCGCTAAGCGATCGGTGTATGATTATCCGAAATTTGCTTTTTTACTTGGACCCTCCTCCGGCGGATCATCGGCCGACTCTTCGGAGACTCAACGCCGCTCCTGAGAGGAATTCTCTGCCGCATCCTAATTCGATCCCGACTCCGAGATTCCTTCGCTACGGGCTCGACCGAATGGCGTACAATTCGTAGTATGCATGACGTCCTTGTCCGGAACGGCGGAGCGGGTAGCTCTCAGGAGGGCAAGCCACCTACGAAAAACGAACGAACGAACGAGCGAATGAGCGAACGAACGAAGGAACGAGCGGAGGGATTGACCGACCGACAAGCAAAGAAGCGGAGCAAGGAAGCAAAGCAGGCAAGCGAGCGAGCGGGCTCATCTTAGGCCATTTGGCGGGACATTACCGAGGCACACATAGACACGGGCAATGTTAATTTCCGGAGGGTCTTTCCGTCCCTTTTCTCGGAGGGAACGAAGAAAGCTCGGTGAGCGACCGAGTCACGCCGTCGTTTGCTGTTTGCTGCTCTGCGAAGATACGGCAATGGCAAGCATTCATGAATCGGGATCGCGAATGAACCAAATCGAGACCCCGAGGAAATATGCGTGGAGAGCATGTCGTTTTCGGTGCAGAGTCTGACGTCATCACCAGACATGAGAAGGAACTCCTCTAGAAGATGTCCGAACTATTGGTGTGAGGAGGTTTCCTCATGCTGCTTCAGTCGCCGTCGGCGCGGTCGAAGCCTCGGACACCCAATGTCGACGCTCAGGATGTCGATGGGGCATTTCGGGTACGAGCGCCGGAGACCTGCCAACGAGTCGGGGGTTCGAGCAGCGGGGCAGAACTGACGGAGAGCGCTTCGACCGGGATAGAGCTGGGCGTTTCGCCCTTTTGCTCGAACGAACACGCTTTCGTTTTCGATTTCATTTGTATTTATGACGAGCGAGGAAAGTGAGGCGGCCGTTTGTGTCGTCGTTCCGCCGCCGTCTCGTCGTACCCAGGGCCGAGAATGTCGTCGTCGACGACGACGACGACGAAATCGTACGACGTGACGCCGAAACTGACAAGACAAGCTTCGCTGCTTGCCTCGATTGGCTTAGTCGTCGATCGGCCGGGAAGGATATGCCCGTCCGAGTGCCGCGGCTGTGGGAGCAGCAGACGCAGCAGCTAGTGCCAATAAGCACCGATATGTGAGAGCTATGCTAATGCTCCTGCAAGAAGTAGTTAGTGAATGATGATCTCCTGGATATGACAGTTCGCTTCGCTTTTGGCCCCATCTCGACCGAGAGGCCGGAGGACAGGGCTGACTCGATGGTCTGCTCGACCGCCGATCCGAACAACGACGACGACGGGAAACTCGGAGAAAGGGTCGACCACATGACCATCGACAACCTTTGGTCCTGCGCGGGTTCAAGTCCGAGGTGGCCGACTCGATGAAAAACTCGCCGGAGCTCTCCCCGTGCTGGCGCGGAGCTGCGAATATACAGAACCTAATATATGAATATCTATAACTCTCTTGTCGCCTCGAAGTCACATATTCATATGCGTGGCACGAACGCCGCTCGCGGTGTTCAAATTCCACATGTTTGGAGCCTGCTTGAGGCCGTACATATCGCTCGCCGCCGGTGCCAGAACCGAGGAGCGAACTCGTCGACGGTGAAACTCCGAAGAGCAACTCAACCCTTGAGACCGAGTCGAGGTTCAACAGCTTGGCCTACTTGAATATTAACCGATGCAACCAACACAAACGCGATTGCTCTCCTGCCCACGAGGCAGCCGTGCATCGGGGATCTTCCTGGATATAATATGTTCGCATCGGGGGATACGGCTAAATATGGACGTTGTGGCCGGTGTCGTCGTCGACCGCCACAGAATCGGCAGCGACGTGTCGGACGGATACACTGACGGACACACGAAACTACATCTGGGGGGTAATTCAGCCCGGTGACGTCGGTGTTGTTGTCCGAGGCCTGCGTCGATAGTGTCAGAAGCTGCTCCGGAAAACGTGCACAGACTCTGATCTCGTTTAAGATAGTGTCGTCCTCCTGCTCGTAGAACAAATGTTATGGCGCTCGCCCGCGAGATCTAATCCTGCGGTGAGGCTCGCAGACGGGGCTGCGGCGAATAGACGGATATCGCTTGGCTCGTTCGCTTTTGCATCCCGTCGGCAGCCCAACGGCAGAGATCCTGCTGAAGTTCCGGGGCAGGAGTCATGCGCCAATCGTCGACGTCGGGGCGGCGGGGGCGGGGCTGGCTTCGTAGGTTGACAGGGGCGCGTGGGGTGACCTGTTAATTTTAATCAGAACACGGGAATGGAGTGAACGCGGCTTGCGTCAATTATGTATCACATACTGCTGCTCTTGCTGCATACTCGGAGTGCGACGCGACCGAGCGAGCGAGTGAGTTGGAGTAGCGGGCCATGGGCACGGACGTGGGGAGGGGTACGGGAGGAAAGAGTGCGCGACACTCACGCGGGAGAGCTAGGGTTGCAAGCGATAAAGTCAAGAGTCACCCCAGACAGTCACCGCAGAGCCTTGCAAAGTATTCCTAAAAGAAGGAGAAAAAATCTCGAACACCGCAAAGCACCTGGGAGATGCAAAAGTCACCTGCCCTGGAGGCTGCCAACGCTGTTGTAGCCGGAGGATAGACATGCTCTCACATATGTGTTCCGAGAGTTCCACATGCGGTTCCAACGAAGGCTACAGCCGCTGCGACGCGGGAAGACCACGAAGATTATTATCTTTGTCATTAGCGGGCGAGAAAAGTGTATGTAGGCGAAAGTGAGGGAAGAGAGTAGAGACGAGGAAGCCACATCGGCTTACGGTTTCCCGGAGTCGGCGAGTCGACGAACTTGGTCTTCCTTGAAGATGAAGGCGGAGGAGAACTTCTGCGCTTACGCGGGTGAAAGTGGGAGCGGACGCTGGAAAAATGCTCCGACAAACTCGCTGATGAGAGCGGGAAAAGCTCTTCGAATCGAAAAGTGCAGTCGCACCGAGAGATTCGCCTCGAAGCTTCTTCTCGCGACCAACATTATGCATGGCGTACGGGCTCGTTCTCTCACCGGATGCGGAAGCCGCCGGAACTTCCGCCGAACCGGACGGATAACTCTTCTTCTCTCTCATAGTCGCTGATACTCATCAGACTCAACGTTTACAATACCGTCGCAGATACATTGAAGTCGAATCGAGTAGCACCGCTACCGTCTGACTGAGCATAAGTTGGTTCCTGGAGAGCTTACGCCACTCCGCTCCGATGAGGAGACTTTCCTGACGATTTCTTTTCCTCTCTTTGCAGTCCTGAGTCTCCGAAATACCCAAGAAGAAGAACCACCAGACCCGCAGCTGATGCGGTTAGACAACATGTTAATCGCTGAAGGTGTTGCGGGTCCCGAGAAAGGAGGAGGAGCCGGTGCGGCTGCGAATGCGTCAGCAGCAGCGGCAGGTGGCGAAAACGCCATCGAGCACTCGGACTACCGGAATAAATTGGCCCAAATCAGACAAATCTACCATCAAGAACTAGAAAAATATGAACAGGTGAGTTTCACATCTACCCAGGTCCTGAACAAGTCGGATATCATTCGTATTCAATTTCGGATACATCGCCCCCGCTCCGAGCACGGCAATCGCGTTGAATCCGATCGACTCTAGACTCTCGCCGTGGCGTCCTGACAGAGCACCCGTTGACGTGAGCCCACCAGCCGGTTTAGTAGCAATTTTTTCGCTGTGTTCTTCCTTTCTCTCGCCTGGCGGACGACCGTCTACTCCACATGTCTTGTGTCAGCGTTGCCCGTAAAAATGGCCTAGTCAGTTAAGGTGACGTCTCTTCCGCCTCGCAATGATTGATGGGGTCTCTTTGAGAAGGAGCTTGCCCGTCCGCGAACCAGACAGCCGTCTACTGCGCTGCTGAGCAAGAGAACGGAGCGAGCATGGAGATTTCGAGACACGGGGAAATATATCTGCTCCTCCGAATACTTCAGATCACTTCGAATCGACGATTCGGTGAATTATAATTTATAATAAATAATAATCATTCGTCGAATCGTTCGATTTTTCATGCGCGGCTCATTCGGAAGCCGAGTCCGATGTGATGATTATTATTCTCGGGGCTCTTGGAGCGATGACCCGGGAGTGTTTTGGGGGACCTTCCTCCTTGGGTTTTTCGAAAATTCACTCCGTCATCACGCGAAGATTTCTGTTTCCTTTGGTCCGCCGTCGTGGGATTATTTTCCACCCAATGTCCTAGGTTCGAGTTCCTTTTCGGATGGCAGCTGTTGTATGAAACTTTTGGAATTCCTCTCATTTAGCTCGATTTGGGTTGGTTGGTTGGATCGAACGAACGTTGGGAAACGAAAGAAAAACGGAAAAAATAAAGAAGAAGGAGGCGTCGGCGTGTTGGGACAACGTTGGGTCGGGGCCGTTGCCGTTGGCTGTTCGAGAGACTTGAAGGCCCTCCTACAGCAGACCAGCCCTCCTGGGCCGAATCCATCAAAGGCGGGCGGTGACCAATCAAATTTGAGCGACAGCCCCAGGCCAGGCCCCTGAGTCGCGCATGCGCGCTCAACTGTCGGCCGCCCTTCGTGTCCTGCACTCTCACATATTGTGGGAGCCAGGCCGCCAGCCACCCATCCAACCAACAAGCCTTGCGACTCGGGCTCCGAGGGGCCTCCATGCCGTTTCCCTGCTCAGGGTCCCCGCCGGGGGCTGAGCCGAGTTCCCGCGCGGGTCCGTGTCAGGCCTCGGCAGCAGCAGTAGCTCGGCTCGTCCCTCTGCATGTCCCTCCGATGGTTTCTTGTTAGTCCTCGTGAGGAGGTTCGGCAGGATCTGCTCGCTCCGCGAATTCACCTTTCCACGCGTGAGACTCGCCATAATAAATTTCAGACACGAGCTATGAATTCCTCCGACAAAAAAATAACGAGGCAATAATATTCTTCCACGGGAAGTTTGCGGGTGAATCAAGAACTCATGAAACTACATATTACGTTTCGTTCGAGGGTCGCACGAGTTTTTTCCCTGTCGGTCGGGATCCGCCAATGCTCTATCCATCGGAGGAACAGATGCACGTGGGATCCCGTCATCGAAACTCCCAAAATGCGGGTAACGGTTTCAAGAAGCGTGCGAAACTTATTGTGAGTATCGTAAGCTTCGATGCGGGGTGACAAGACAGTGGCTGGACGAGGAGAGGCCGACGGCAGCCGAGTGGGTGATGTGACGTCGTCGGTGGCGGCGGCGGCGGCAGCATGGGGGAAATAACGGAAGAGACAACAGCGGGACACGGTTGACCTCCTCAGACATCGTGCGCTTGCTGCACGGAGTTGCTGCCAGTCAGTGCGCGTACACAGACAGCCAGACTGACACGCGCACACGAACATACTAAGCCTCGTCAAGTCGAGTCAACTCCCAAAAGCTTGTTCTACGAGAAAAGCAAAGTTTGCGCTCCGTCTCTCTGAAGCGTTCGTTCGCCACTTTACGGGCTGTACGAAGCAAGCAAGGGGAGGCTGCGCCTCCGAGTGCGGGACGGCTGGGGGCGGATGCGAAGTGGATGGGGACCGGAGCTGAGTAGTACGCGGCCGCATCTCGGCGAACAACGACGACAACAACAACCGAAAGCATCCATAAGAATGTTGTCGCCCTTGAGAGCGACAACGACGACATCACCGGCGGCTCGCCGCGGGATTTTAGCGAGAACAGAGGAAATTTGTCGCGAGGCCTTCCCGGAAAGCGAGCGAGGAGGAGAGCGGTCCCATATAGAGCCATAGGGTATCGCAGGGCTCGGCATGCAGTCCGCGCGGCATTGACGACATCCATCGATCCGATGTCACGTTTTCTCGGTGAGGGATCGGGTGAATGTCGGGAATGCGTTCGCCGACGAGCTCGCTGGTCGGACCGTCCCATGTGGAGTCCATTCGACGGCGAGTCAGCAAGATATCGAGCCCACCGATCGGACTGTGATCCAGCGAGTTTGAGCGGGCGATTTGCATGAGATCTCGATTAGGTTGAGCGTCGATATCGTTTTGTGTAGCCGCTCGTTTCCCGAACAGGCACGCATCGGTTTCCCACTATCTCCCACTCGCACAACCGACACTCACTTAGTCACACAGTCGCACACTCGTCCCCGCGAGCGAGTCTGGCCGTGGAGCGTGCGACAAAGGGTGACGGCTCCTAACAGATCAAACCGCTCGAAAAACGTTCGAGCGTATCATGCTGACCATCGAGACGCTAATAGTGGTATCATGGAGATTCGTGGGCCTGCTGGCGAATCGATTCGGGGCCTGCGGTTTCCGTTCGATGCCATTCGCCGACGAAGTCACCGTACATTTCATCGACGAGTGATTTTGCTCCACGACCGAAGACTCGAAGTCGTCTCGGTTTCGACGTTCTCGAAAATCCCTGAACATGGACCTCGTGACTCGGGATCGATTGTCTCTGGAAATAATCTCTGCCGCGCTCACCTACCGGATATTTTCCATCCTACACCGTAATCTACTTCAACGTGACAACATTCCTTCGGAGCCACATGTTCGACATGGACCACCGGCTCGTCCAGCGGAGCGGACATGCAAATGCCGATGGAACGAAGTTTGAACGGATCCACGACTCATTTTCGATGCTCGATACCCTCGTGTGTCAAATACGCTTCGATGTGATTATAGTGGGCGGCGGAGCGAGCGACCGAAACGCTCGTACGGGTACCGTATCTTGGGACGGCGATCTCCTATGCTTATCTGCTGCCGAGCCCGGCCGTTTGTCCATTCGATGTGAGTCGCGTTCGTTCGACGGAGTGAGTCACGATGCTCGGTGTCCTTGACCCCACCCACCCCTTACAGCCCGTGGCTAGCGGGCTACTGGTCTTCGACGCAGCTCAGATATCCTTCATGTTCGCTTGTCTCCAGAGTTCCGTTCGCCGACAATGAAATTACCGAGCCCGGCGTTTGACGCTGATTTACCCGCTCGAATCGTAGCGCCGCCGTCGCAGCGCCAGTGGACGGTTATCTATCGCTGATAAGATAATGCGCAGTGTTTAGTACATAACAAATGAGGTGTCGCTTTCGACGCCGCTTTCAATCTTAGTCTCGGTGGCAGTTCGCGCGGGCTCGGTTCGCTTTCCTGAACAGCCTTGCTGAGATCGCGACGAAAGCTCCTACTACTAGTTCGCCGAACGGAGCGTTAAACACTTATAATTTAGGGCCATTTTTCGCTTCCTCCGGCCGACTGGCTGGTAGAGTGGGCTGGCGAAGACAAAAACAGCAGATTGTCATCTCACTCGAAGCGAGCGAGCGAACATGTCGACGACTCGGTCGAGACGAAGGAGTCGATGTTACACGCGCAACTGAGTCGAGTAATAGCATCAGTCGAAGCGGGAAGAAGAAACTCTTCCCGCCGTACCGCTGACGACTGGCTGATGACATATTCTTTCTCACGCACCCTTTCGAATTTCGCACTTTCTGAGCCCCGACTCCTTTTCATCATCCGCCGGCCGTCCATTCCCGACAGCATCGAACATTCTGTCCGATTCGGCGCTGTTTCGGTCATTCCGAGCCAGGAACCCGTCGTATCATTTTTCCGGAGCGCTGCGTCGATTTATTCCAGGATATCCAGAAACCGGTGGCTAGAGGAGGATGGCTGGCGAGGGAACCCTCCGAGTTCCGGGGGTTCGTTTCTTTGAACAAGGGACTGATAGAGCGGGTTCCGAGGTCCGTCGTTTGAGCGTTCGAAGTGAATGGCTTCCTTCCGTCGATATATCCTTGCGCTTTTGCCGCTCGTGGGATGCGGCTATTTAATGTTGAGTGCAGCTTGTTCGCAATTATCTTTGTTCTTAGTTGCCGACTGCATGACCGGGAGGAAAACAGCGGCAAAACGAGCGCCATCGCTCGGGGCGTTGGGCCGAGCTGGGGAGGTAGCGGGGGGGGGCGAACAGGGCGCATCGAGCACGGCTGTGATCGGCGGGCAGAGGCAGGGGGCAATGCTACAGCAGGACCTTCTTCCGTGGTTATTACTGGCCCATTTCTGGTAATAGCCGTCCATGCTCTCTTTTCCCTCTTCTTCGAGTGGCTCGGACGGACAGAGAGCGGGGAGGCAGGGGCTAGGGGAAAAAGGGGGAGGGGGTCGCGGGATGGGTGAACGCTCGACCGATGCGATGGGTATGAGCGAATCAGGGCAGCGACGAGCAGCGGAACGAGTTACCGGGAACGGTCATAATGAGTAAGTGCCCGCCACCAATCGGCTGGTTCGAGAGCTTCAGCAAGATGCCGTGACGTGAGTTTTCCTTCCATGACGTGCCAGGTCCGAAAGACCGCGATAGCTCCGAGTCGGCTGCGGCTGTTATGGTCGCTCCCGGATGCTTGTTCCGAGATGCTCTTTCGCATGATCGGCGTCACAATATCTTCCCGCATCCAGCCTGCCGGTGCTCCTGTCCTGCGAGAAAGCTGTGGCTCTCAACAAGAGAGTCATCATCCTTTCATTGCTAATTCAGACTTAATGCATCCGAAGAAGGGGAACGAGAAGGAGACGACGCCGACTGTGACCGACCATGCAGC